CTGCTGTGAATAACGCCACAAATGCAACTCCCAGCACCCATTATGTATCATGATTTCTGACCCATCTTCGGTGCTGGCAGGGCTCCCCGCTACGTTTTAAACAGTAAAGACCGAAATTTCTGTTGTGAAAGAGCTGGCTCAGGTGCCTGCGTGTTGCTGTGGCTGCAGCTGCTCGTGAGGAGTGGCCACGCCGGCGCTGGCTGCCACCTCCTGATGCGGGTCCTACCCATGGGGCTCTGCTTGAAATGGCCTCTTCTGCCCCACGCGTGAGGAAACCCCCAGCCTCCAGCTCTGCGCTTGTTTCAAGCAACCACGTTTCAGCAGGGGGAATGAAATGCCAGAGCCTTGGTTTTCTGTATGTTAGCTATGCACTTACTTTTTTCCAGGAAATTTTCATCATATTCATAGCTGTCAATCTTACAAACTGAGGATCTGAAGAACATGGAGCTGCCAGCCTTTCCTCTTCTGCCTTAAGGGTACGCAGGGTTATCACACACACCGTTTTCTTTGTGTTTCCTACTTAACCTTCCCTTGTTTTCTTGCCTTATTTCCAATGAGATAATGCAAGCAGTTAAATAACATTCTGGTTTCTTTTCTTCTGGCAATATCATCAAGGTAACCTCCCTGACTCATTGCTCCAGATTCACACCAGAATTTCCACCGTTTATAAAATGAGCTCAGTTCCTTGGAGCTTTCTTAAGCCTTGGCTTTATGGCTCCATCAGATGCTGTAAGCTTCAAAACATAAACCTATATTAAAATACAACTGTTCAGAAGTGCAAAGAGGGTCTGATCGCTTCCAGAGCGCTACACTGCTGAAGCGGTATCTGCACCAAGTCCTAAAAGTAGATTTACAGTGGCAGCGTTTCTCATCACGTGGCACACATGTGCCCTTCTCTTTACCCAAACTGTTTAAAGAAGGGTTCACAAATCAGCAGGACTCATTCATGCCGCTCCATGGAATCTCTGAAAGTTACCTCCTACCTGTGCTGCCGGGCATTTTCCCCACCCTACTTGTGTTTCTTGCTTTTCTGTAAGCGCTCCACTTGGAATTTCTTCTTGAAACAGTTGAATACTCAAATTTTTAAAAAGTATTTTCAGTGATTTCACTTAAAAATAAAAAGTTACTTTGTAACAAAGCTAAACAAAACTAAATCAAAGTGTAGGTTCAGATTCTGACACCAGTTATTTTACGCCAGTGGGAAAGCAAGATCAGAACCAAAAAAATCAAATTCATCAAGCGGAAACCCTTAGATGGCGGGGATTTGCCCACGAAGAACAGTTGCACCGTTACAAGCCTGACCGGTTTATGCAGATTTCCCCCTAACTAGCAGCCGAACAACTGGTTCGCTAAAATGATACTAAATCTTCATGACTCACCGAAAATATAACCAACAGTTGAGGGATTTAGAGCAGGCAGCTCACACATCAGAAACGGAGGAGATAATCGTGCCAAGACAGACTGGTTCAAAAGCCTGGAGCAATTCTAACTGATTTACACACATATTTTTGTGTCCACCTTGGCTCAGGTATTTGAATTAGTAAAGTCTCTGGCGTCAAGTAAACGCACATTTCTGAGTCACCACTGAAATAAAGACTAAAACTGTGCAGCTAAGTATTGAATTTTCACTCGGCCTCCAAAACTACTCAGGTAATTATTGCAAGCACAGAAATTTTAAATGCACCCAAATCCTGAATAAAAACTGGAAAATTACAATAATAATTTATCCGATTAAAGCTGCTATTTGCACCAATTTTGCAATGCACGACACTTAAGAATTGAAACACTATGTAATTAAAACTGTTAATTGCAAAAAACGGGCTGCTGTCAAGACTATAATTTAACAAGGTTCTCTTTGTTTGACCATCTGATTCTAAAGGTTAATGCGGTGACCTAGGAGGCCAGCGCGCCCATTTTAATTGTGCTGGCATTCTGACCAAACACCACTTTAAAGGAAAAATGGGAGGAAAAATCAGAGCCGGCTTTGCAAGCCACTGCTGCCTTCATAAAACGTTCCTAGTGAGAACACACAAACCCAAAATCTGCTGACTTTATTAAAATATTAACAAGGTATAGTTAAAACTTTTGTACACTTATGCAAATCGAGTTGCTAGAACAAGGGAAAGAAGAGATTCCCCCGGGAGAAAAAAAAATAAAATCAACAAAGTGAAAAGATCAACCATCCTTCCACAGCGTGACAGCACGACACAAGAGGCAGCAGCTTGGGAATTCAGCAAGATAAATAAAAACCCTCCAAAGTTTAAGTAAATCATGGTTTATAAAGCTAATGGATTTAAATGAGGCATACGGTACCGTTCTATAAAAAGACCACATTTGCCAGGGGACGGGAGCGGTGTTTTGGTGCCAGAGAAGCACGGCCAGGATGGGCTCCTCCTTGCGCTCTCGGGAAGGGCGAGCTCCGGCCGTGTGCTCCCATGAGATGTCAGACACACACCGGGGAGGTCTCACCATGGGTCTAGCACCAAAGGGATTGGCAGGATTTAAATGCCAGCCCCACCAGCATGGCTCCGAGGTGGCCCTGAGGCCAGGGCCCTGACAGCAGCTCAGTAGCATGGCCAGGTCAGAGGCTGGCTCCTCCGAAAGGTGTCTGCGCTCGGGAAGGGGTGAGGGCCAAGCACTGGCTTTGTGGAGGCTCAGACTGCGTGGCTGTGGCCCCCCATGCCATCAGAGGCAGTGGCATGTGCCGCCTGGTTTGCAGAACCTGCAGCTCATTGATGTGCCAGCGCCTTGGTGGAGCCTCTAATTAAGCGTTGTGTGGAGCTGCACTCGTGCTTTGCTCTCATACCTCAGCGGGGAAAATGCCTTTACTTCTGACTTAACAGTGAGGAAGGGGAGGGGGCAGCCTACCATTTGCTTAGTCTTTGTATGTTAATCAGTGCCTAAATTATTAATAGAAAAAAGAAATTATTTACAAGGTGTTTGACGTAGACATGTCAGGATGTAGCAACGCTACTGTCACGAGAAATTCTCATAAAGAATCATGGTATCTGTCTTGTCTTATTTATTTATTCCACCCATGCTCAGAGACCCCTTTCTCCTGATAGCACCCGGAGAGGCAGGAGGAGACACAGAGACTGTTTAAAGGCAGGAGAGACCACACTGAGGGTATGCACCTTTCATAAACGCTGCACGGGGGTGACGGTTGCACAGAGAAATCAACAGCTTTAGCTTTGCTTTTCCTCTTGTTTAAACATACCTGAAGCTCTGTTTGAAAGAAGAACTTCTGTGGGCACTGGGAACAGTCATAAATTTTATCTTCCTGCCCGTGGACTGCAAAGATGTGCTGCTGCAGTTTGTTTGCCTGTACAAACACTGAAACAAGACAGTACGATTAGTTCAGATTGCTTCAGACACGGCCCCTTGTCTTGAACTACACTTTTACCATTGCAAAGACTCTGAAAAGTCCGAGGATATCTGCCAGGGAAGTGTCGATACACTCAGTTCAGCAGAATTTCCTTACAAGTAGTCAATTTAGAGTCTCCAGGATGAGAGGCAGCTTACTTCTAACAGAGTCTAAATCCTGTCTGGATTTTTGATATTGCACATAAAGCTAACACTGTCCACGGGTAACTGGAAGAGCTCAATCATCAGAGCAGAGAAAGCACGTCACCACTCCCGCAGGGAGCCCCGGGCCCACGGCAGGTGCTTCGGATGCATTTTTAATGCAGGACAACTGGGCCAGGAGAAGCCTTGATGGCTGGTCTGGAAGACACGTGGTCCAGAACAGCATTTCTGGCAGACACGTGAATCTGAAAGGCAGCCTTGGCACAATTTTTAGACCTTTTAAATGGGTTGTCCGTTCAGTATAAAAAAAGATTATGATTTAACATCACCAGTATCACAGTATCTACATTATGATTTTGAATAGACAACTGCTCTGACTTTATAAAGTGAAATTTGGAAGTGAAGCATATTGAACTCCAGGCTTTAGCTTGTTAAAAATATATCTCATTTAATTTTTGTCTCATTTTATATGAATTATCATCAGTATGTGAAAATAGCTTCTTCAGCAGAATTCAACACATGCACTCTAAGAGTTATTTTACAGCATGTTTCAGGCAAGGATAAATTAACTCCAAGCTCATACAAAAAAAACAGGTTCTGAAATTGCAGGCCAGACCTGCAAGGGCTCACCCTACTCCCAGGTAAGGCAAAGGAACTGCAGGTGCTGCTGTGCCCCTTTGCTGACACTGGGTCCACAGTCACCACATGGCACCTTCATCTCTCAAGCAGGTTGGAAAGGTAGACATTAAGGACTGTTTTGAGGAGCATACAATAGGCAGCCCTTAACACGTATCCTGCAGATCCTTTAAGGGAGATCATCCAAGCTTATTTGCACTGATGAGACAGCTTAAAATGAGCTACAGAGAAGGAGGTAGACATATGCCACCACGAGCAAACTGGCTTTAAAAAAACTCTGAGAGAGCAGCTGGAAAACTATACAGTTGTAAAATTTGGTCTTCTCAAACCTTTACTCAGGTGAGCCTCACCAGCTTGAGTGGACTATGAGCTACCTGGCCCCTAAAGGGTCCTTACTCACATGAATAAGGGTTTGCAAGAGCCGGTCCACACCTTGCACATCCTGCACTTGGAAATGCATCGCACCTTTGAGCCACACGGTACAATTCAAAAGGAATTGAACTGTGGAGGGCGATGCAGAGCCCGCCGCATGTGGCAGCGCTGCTCGCTGTCAAATGCCACGGTGCTGCTCTGTGGAGCACGCCCCAGTTTCAGACAGACGATATTCTGAGCATTTTCAAGTGCAGTATTTCTTTTTCTCAAGGCAAGGAATACAGTATTTGACAAATCCCCCGAGTGCCATTCCCAGATCAAGCCATGCACGTCCTGGCCTCCCTGTCTTACCTGTGAAACAAACAGGGCATTTGAATGTGCCTCCCATCCCCTCGAAGCTGTGCTCAATCAGGTGACACAGGAGCTTTGCCGGAGAGTCAAACATCTGGTTACACAGCTTGCACTCATGATTGATGCCTTCCTCTGCAAGGTTCAAATGATACAACTTGTTAGTGACACAGCAGATTAGCGTCGGGGATGCAGCAGTCGGCGAGAAACGCGCACAGCTTCAAGGACCCGCAGACGTGGCTCCAGCCCCAGCAGGGAAGCAGGGTGAGGCGCTCGCGCGGGGCGGCCAGGGGTGCAGCCCCCCGTCCCATTCAGGAGCGTGGATTTTCAGCTGCAATGAAAGCAGCGCTGCCATCGACCTGCGTGCCTGCTCCAGGCTCGTGGCACCGCTCCACCTCGCATCCTGCCACCAAGGGAGAGTATCCCTGCGCTGGGCAGCCATTATTCAATAGTCCAACAGCATTTAAAATGAATCTAACAGTGTGAATTCAACCAACGACGCTGAAAGGAGGCTGAAATGCCATCTTCACCTCATATTACACTACAAATATACGGGAGAGGAAGAAGCTATCGGAGAACGGCAGGAGCCCAGAGCAGTGTCACCCTTCGTTTTATACCTCTTGGCTTTTTCGAGCTGAAGAGACCACTGAAGGTATTCAAATGTCATCTGAAAGTGTAATTTCCATGCCATGTATCTCAAGTACTGAATACACAGGACTTGTTTAAAATGCCCTTATGTTTTAGCTGAACTCATAGGGAAATACTAAAAATTATCGGTATTGTTTCAAGCCTACCACTTTTGTAAGCTGCTGTGTTTCTCGGTTTACTGATGCTTGTGAGTTTGGATACAGTTGGGCCATTTTGAGATACTGAAGCCATATTAAAGCAATTTCCACGCCTAAAATGAAACAAACCCTTAATCATCTTGAGGTGGAGGAGAGAGTGGTAGAAATATAGACAACACAATGTACAGTTTATATAAATCAGAAAACATCTAAAATTAAAAAAACCTGCTGATTGTTTTTGTAAATACTTCCTGAAAATGTGTCTTTCCTTCATAGTGACAGCACGTGTGAACTTCTCATGAAAATGTATTTTAAAAACTAAAGAAATTCTGTCTTTTGAAGTACATTTGACTATTTGTGTATCTCCAGATCTCACCAATTTTTAGTTCCAAGACACCTAAGAAATTACTACATTCTACCACGAACTCATCTCTTGCCAAATGCATTTGGATCTTGCGAATAATGCAAGCCTCCAGAAACCCAGTCTTTACCTTCAATTGCTCTAAATGAGCTTTTTACATCTTCAAAGAGGATAAACAGAGGGAAATTACTGTTTTCAGAAGGCCTTTGGCACTCTTAGCATCCCAAAGCCCTCTGACAAGGCAGGGCACGCGGTGGCCTCGCGTGTGGGTGCTGCATGGAGCATGGCTGCACCTCGGCGTGTTTGCAGCTGCAGGCAATTCCCAGAGCATGCAGGCCTTGACGGGCCCTCCGTGCAGTGTGAAAAGTAACAATAATTAAAACAAAAATAACAATCTGAGCTGCCCACACTGCCTTGTGGGCGGGTGGGCTCTGGAAAGCCGTGTGGCAGTGAGTGCTCTCGCTGGCACCACAGCGGTGTCACGTAGGGCGAGAGCAGGGCGCTGATGGAGAGCGCTGGCACCAAAGTTGTGGTGGGAAAGATGGAGGTGGGATGGGGAGAAGTAAACAGATGGGTTGGGAAGGAGATAAAACAAGAAAAGGAAAGGGAAGAAAGAGTCAGGAATCATGGAATCATTTGGCTGGGAAAGACCTTTAAGATCACTGAGTCAAACAATAACCTGTCCACCACCAAACCATGTCTCTAAGCACCTCATCTCCCGTCTTCTAAACACCTCCCGGGATGGTGACTCCACCACTGCCCTTCCAGTGCCTGACAACCCTTTTGGTGAATAAATTTTTCCTCATATCCAATCTAAACCTCCTTGGGCACAACTTGAGGCCATTTGCTGTCATCCCATCACTTGTTACTTGGAAGAAAAGACTGACCTCCCCCAACACTTCCCACTCCTGACAGGGAGCTGTAGAGGGCAATAAGGTCTCCCCTCAGCCTCCTCTGCTCCAGGCTGAACCCCCCCAGTTCCCTCAGCCACTCCCCACAATTCTTGTGCTCCAGACCCCTTCCCAGCTCTCACACTTCAGCTCCTCAATGTCCTTCTTGGAGTGAGGGGCTCAAAACTGAACACAGGATTCAAGGTGTGGCCTCAGCAGTCCCCAGTACAGGGGAAGGATCCCTGCCCTGGGATCCTAGCGTGCCCTGCTGGCCACACTATTGCTGATGCAAGCCAGGATGCTGTTGGCCTTCTTGGCCACTTAGGCACACTGCTGGCTCATGTTCAGTCTGTCGACCAGTACCCCCAGATCCCTCTCTGCCAAGCAGCTCTCCAGCCACTCATCCCCAAGCCTGTGGCATTACATGGGGTGGTTGTGACCCAAGTGCAGGACCCGGCACTTGGCCTTGTTGAATCTCATGCAATTGGCCTTGGGCCATCCATCCAGCCTGTCAAGGTCCCTCTGCAGAGCCTTCCTACCCTCAGGCAGATCAACACTCCTACCCAGTTTGGTGTCTGCAAACTTGCTGAGGGAACACTCAATCCCCCTGTCCAGTTCAGTGATAAAGATGTTAAACAGGAATGGCCCCAAAACTGAGCCCTGGGGAACACCGCTTGTGACTGACCTCCAACTGGATTTAACTCCATTCAGCAACACTCTCTGGGCCCAGCCATGCAGCCAGTTTTTTTACCAAAAAAGAGTATGCCTGTCCAGGGCCTGGGCAGCCAGTTTCTCCAGGAGAATGCTGTGGGAAACAGCATCAAAGACTTTACTACAGTCCAGGGACACGACATCCACACCCTACCCCATATCCACTAAGTGAGCCTTCCCCATATCCACCTGACCTCCTTCTATGACCACCTGGTCATAGAAGGAGGTCAGGTTAGTCAAGGAGGATATGCCTTGCATAAAACCATGCTGACTGAGCCTGATCTTCTGGTTGTCCTGGATATGTCATGTGATGGCACTCAAGACAAGCTGCTCCATGACCTTTCCTGGCACCAAGGCCAGACTGACAGGTCTGCAGTTCCCCAGGTCCTCCCTACGGCCCTTCTTGTAAATGGGGGTCGCATTTGCCAACCTCCAGTCAAGTGGAACTTCCCCAGTCAGCCAGGTCTGCTGATAGATGATGGAGAGCACCTCCACCAGCTCCCTCAGTACCCTTGGGTGTGTCCTGTCCAGCCTCATACGCTTGTGTGTGACTAACTGGGAGCAGGTCACTAACCAACTCCTCCTGGATCATGGGAGCAGCTCTCCATCCTTGTCTTGTGGCTCAGGGGACCAGGTACCTGGAGAACAGCTGACCTTGCTGGTAATGACTGAGGCAAAGGCAGCTTTAAAAGCACCTCAGGAACAGAAGATGAAAGGGCTGGTGGCTCCACGGATTCCCTGGGCAGCCATAACTGGGGACTGGGATATTGCAAGGATGCAACAAGGTTTGCAATTCCCTGTTTGGGCAGCCACCACAGACAGGCACATCACCCTCTCTGAAGGATGGCTTTCAAAACCCGACCCTCTCCCCTCGCTGTAGCATGAGGCTGACTTCTCCCATCAGACCCTTGCCTGAAAAGTTGTGTGCGATCTCTGTGATCTGCTCTGGGGGGAGGAAAGATGTGGAAGGGATCTGTGCCTTGTGCTGCGCATCCTGTGTGTGCCCAGCCACATGGCTGTGCACAGCAACCGAACATGGCAATAAACCTGGAGAGGACAAAGCAGGTACTGGGGGGAGTTGAATGAATTCCTTCTATGAGTAAATCAGAGAAATCATGTTTGACATTAATTTTCTACCCTCCGCATACCAGGTATTTGGAAAACAGTGATTCATGTACAGCCTATGGTCCTGTGTGAGCACGTGCGTTCATAAATACAGGCAGACATATACTGCTGGTTAGACGACTGCACCTTTTGCAGCCTAAATACCTATAATTTCAGTAAAATTAAAAAAAAACAACAATGCTCAGCATTTCAATTGAAGTATATTCTTACAAGCTTGGTATGTTTAATTAGGTAACAGAGATTGTGTATTTTCTTGGCTGATCCCTGCAGTATTTTAAATAGTTAAACCCATAACAAACCAACTAAAACTCGAATGAAAAATAATAAAACATAATGGGTTCCCGCAGATCTGGAAATTTATCCCACTCGAGGCAAGACCTTTTGATTTGCAAATCCACTTCTGAATTATAAGGCCTTCTCCTCACCGGTGGGGGTTTTTATTCCACTCCCACAGGAGTCCATTATGTATTTCTTGTGTCTATAAAACCATCCAGGAAGAAGAAAGGGGGGAAAAAGTACCATGGTTAGCATGACAAACGTTTCTCTTTTCATGCATGTGTATTCAAAATATGAAAACGCCCAAAGATATAGATAGAATTGCTGCTATAATCACTCTCTCCTCTATGGCATTTTACAGCATATTGTTTTACCCAGAAACACGGTGCGTGTGCAGGGATACTCAGTCACCTTTGGAGAATAACTTTCTTGCATTATATAGGACCATATAGGTACAGGCCAGGCAGCTTTTTGACACTGCGGCGTGACAGCCCACGCTCCAGTCAGACGCGTGGCGCTGGGCGTCAGCAACTGAAAACATACCATCATTTCCCTCGGTTTTATTCCCTCCCTACTTTTCTTTTTCTTAAAAAAAAACACATGACAAGCACCTATGAGAGACCTACATAACTCAAGTGAATTATGCAGCCCCTCTCATTTGTAAAATAAAATGCAGATTTTTACAGCTTGCTGTGCTAGATCTTCTCCCATTTCTCCGGAAGTGTATCTGTGCGGGGATCAATTGATTACAGGACTGCACAAGCAATGCATAGCAAACAAGAATCTTGGGTTTCTTGCCTTTTTTTTTTTTTCTCCGAGCTCAAAATAATAAGCATTAATTTTACACTCCATTTCTCAAAAAAATAATAGGATGTGCTCTTGTTTAAAACAAGCAGGCCTGCTGGATTCTGTCAGGCTGAAACTATGTCAGGCCAAAAGAGGAACAGAGCGCTTTGTGTAAC